GTATTCCAGTAACATCATTAACAGGAAAGAGTCACACTAATAGCCCATGCGGTTTTGGTATTCCTGGTAATACACAGATGCCATAAGCTGATATGCCAGTCTGGCTGGGGAAAGAGAACACAGGGCATCATTTCAGTACGAATCAAGCGGATATTACTGGCGGTGAAGAACTGAACTGCAAAATTACTAATTTGAAGGCAAAAAGGGAAAACAAGAAGTACAAGGAAGACTCATTCTGATCTTTTGACTCCGAACTGGTGAAATTTCGAAATTCAAACTTGAAGAAAAACTGGAGAACTGTGTTATTACAGGTAAAGTCCAGAGTACCGTTTTCATAAAGTGGAAAAAGCGAAAGCGCCAACTCACGTGATCGTAGTAGGGGTAGTTACATCGTCGAAACGAGCCAAAGTAGGCATAAGCTTGTTTTCCATCAATTGTTAATGAACCAACGATCCATGCAGGTACGTAGAAACCTACTACTGCACAAAGCGTAGCTATAAACGATAGTAGCACCCATCCGTAGCCGACAGCAGTCAGGCCCGTGCTGTTCATTGCATTCGATGTTCAAATCTTTTGGATCTGAAAAAAATGCATCTATCAAAAGCGTTGTCACAAACACATATAAACCCACTCGCACGCAAGCACTGAAATCCCCTGATTCAAGAATGGACAAATTACTAGCAGAAGCTTAACAAATAAATTACGTCCAGTAGCGCAAACAAATGGCCGGCACCAAGTCCAGTCCAACAATCTGTCAGAATTGAAAAATGTTGTAACAAGTGATCTCTGGCCTGGCTCAGTGCTGTTTTTCAAATTTATTTTCTGAAAATTTAAAACCGAAAAACTAACAAAATCATAGCGTCAACAAGAAAACCTACGAATTCAGGTCAAAACCTAAAGTGAACTCCTATACCGAAATCTGACGCTAAACTTACTACAGAATTTGACTGAAATGAAAGTTGATAGAGTTCAAAAATTTTAAATGAAAAGCTTGCTATTGCAAAAATAAAAGCATTTGCGAATGCTTTGAATTTGCCAGGTAAAACCAATTCCTTTACGATTCGTTAAATTGCTTTGACGACAAATTGGCACTGGCGTATTTTAGAAAGTTAAAACCGTCACTGGCTTGCTTCCAAACAACCTTTGAAAATGAAATTTATTTCCAGTTTCACTAACGGGGAACTGGATCATTTTACCCGTGGTCATTTTTTTACTTATTCGAGCAAATTATTGACTGGGGTTTGATTTTTGACTTTGGAAAATTATTCCATTACTAATTTCGGCACTTTATACTAGAGCT